GATCAATGTTAACTCTTTAAATATTTGGTAGAATTCATCTATGAAGCCATCTGGGCCTGGACTTTGTTAAGAATACTTTTTTTTTATTATTGATTGAATTTGTTAATTAATGATTGAGTAAATTAATATTAATTTATTTATTAATGACTGAATTTCATTACTTGTAATTGGGGTCTTCATATTCGGTTGGCCAAAAAGTTCATTCGGGTTTTTCCATTCCATCTTGCAGAAAAAGATGTATGTTTTCCCATACGTCTTACAGAAAAACCCAAACGAACTTTTTGGCCAACCCAATATTTTCTAAATTCTTCCTGATCAAGTCTTGGGAGATTGTACATTTCTAGAAATTTATTCATTTCTTCTAGGTTGGCACATAATTGGTTGTAGTAATCTCTTATGAGCCTTTGTATTTCTGTGGTGTCAGTTGTAACATCTCCTTTTTCATTTTTCATTTTATTTATTTGGGCCCTCTGTTTTCCTTGATGAGTCTGTCTAATGGTTCATCCATTTCGTTGATCTTTTCAAAAAACCAACCCTTAGTTTTATTGAACTTTTCTCTCTCTCCCTCTTTTTTTTTTGTTAAGTCTCTGTTTTATTTATGTCTGCTCTGATCTTTGTTATTTCTTTCCTTCTACTAACTTTGGATTTTCTTTATTTTCTATCTTTATTTTCTATCACTTTAGGTGCAAGACCAGATTGTTTCCTTCAGATTTTTTGTTTCCTGAGGTAGGCTTGTATCACTGTCAACTTCCATCTTAGAACTACTTTTTCTGCATCCCACAGATTTTGGATTGCTGTGTTTCCATTTTTGTTTGTTTTCAAGTATTTTTTTACTTCATTTGATTTCCTCTATTACTGATTGGTTTTTTAAGTAGCATATTGTTTAGCTTCCACCATGCTTGTGTTTTCTGTAGTATTTTTTTTTCTTGTAATTGATTTCTAGTCTCATAGCGTTTTGATGGAAAAAGATGCTTGATATGATTTTAGTCTTCTTAAATTTATGAAGACTTATTTTGTGGCCTAGGATGTGATCTATTATGGAGAATGACCCATGTGCACTTGAAAAAAAATGTGTATTCTACTGTTTGGGGATGGAATATTTTATATGTATCTATTAATTTCATCTGCTCTAATGTGTCATTTAAGGCCAGTGTTTTTTTTACTGATTTGCTGTCTGAATGATCTGTCCTTTAATATAAGTGAGGTGTTAAAGTCTTCTACTACTGTATTACTGTAAGTTTCACCCTTCATAGTGGTTAATACTTGCTTTATTTATTTAGGTGCTCCCATATTGGGTGCATTTATATTTACAATTGTTATATCTTCCTGTTGGGTTGATCCCATTATCATTATGTCATATCATACTTTGTTTCTTATTACAGTTTTTGTTTTAAAATCAATTTGTCTATCAGTGCTACCTCAGTCTTTTTTGTTTCAATTTTCATAGAGTACTTTTGTTTTCATTTCCTTACTTTCAGTCTCTGTGTGTCTTTAGAACTGTAATGACTCTTGTAGAAAGCATATGTATGAATCTTAATTTTTTAATCCATTCAGCTGCTCTATGTCTTTTGATTGGAGCATTAAGTCCATTTAAATTTAAAGTAATTCTTGATATGCATTGTACTTATTGTCATTTTGTTAATTGTTTTGGGGTTGTTTCTGTAGTTTGTTTTTTTTTTTCTCCTTTCTTCTTTTGCTTCCCTGTTGATTTGATGGCTATCTTAGTGTTATGTTTAGATTCCTTTCTCTTTTTTTGTGTCGGTATCTATTTTAGGTTTTTGATTTGTGGTTACCCTGTGGTTCATATATAACAACCTATATATATATATATATATATATATATACACACATGTGTATTGTGTATGTATGTGTGTGATTATTTTAAGTTGATGATCTCTTAAGTTTGAAGGCATTCTAACCGTCTTGTATTTTTATTCCCCCATCACCATGTTTAATGTTTTTGATATTATATTTTTGTTTTTGTGTCCCTTAACTATTTACTTTAGATATAGGTGATTTTACTACTTTTGTCTTTTAATCTTCCTACTTTATAAGTGGTTGACTTACTGTATGTTTGCCTTTATCAGTGAGTTTTTTTTTCCTTTCATAAGTTTCATATTTCTAGTTGTGGCCTTTTCTTTTCTGATTAAAGGAGTCCCTTTAATATATCTTTTAGAACTGGTTTGGTGGTGCTGAAGTCTTTTAGCTTTTGCTTGTCTGTAAAACTTTTGATCTCTCTATGAAATCCGAATGAAAGCCATGCCAGGTAGAGTATTTTTAGTTGTAGGTTTTTCCCTTTCATCATTTAAAATGTATTGTGCCACTACCTTCTTGCCTTCAGAGTTTCTGCTAAAAGTCAGCTGATAGCCTTATGGGAGTTCCCTTATACATAACTTGCTGCTTTTAATAACCTTATGGGAGTTCCCTTATATATAACTTGTTGCTTTTAACTTGCTGCTTTTAATATCCTTTGTTATCATTAATTTTTGCTATTTTATTTATAAAGTGTCTTGGCATGAACCTTCTTGTGTTCATCTTGTTTTGGAATCTCTGTGCTTCCTGGACTTGGATGTCTGCTTCCTTCCCCAAGTTAGGGACTTTTCAGCTATTATTTCTTTAAATAAATTATCTGCTCTTTCTTCTCTTTATTCTGTGACTCCTATAATGTGAATGTCAGTTTGCTTGATGTTGTCCAAGAGATCTGTTAGACTATCCTAATTTTTTAATTTTTTTTTTTTTTCTGTTCAGCTTGGGTAATTTCCAGTAGTCTATCTTCCAGATTGCTGATCTGTTCCTCTGTATCTAATCTACTATTGATTTCTTCTAGTAAATTTTTTTTATTGCAGTTATTGTAATCTTTGCTCTGTTTCTTCTTTATATTTTCTAGCTCTTTGTTGAACTTCTCATTGTGTTCATCCATTCTCCTTCTGTTTTTGGTGAGCATCTTTATAATCATTACCTTGAACTCTTTATTGGGTAGATTACTTATCTCCCCTTTGTTTAGGTCTTTTTCTGAGATTCAACTTGTTCCTTCATTTGGGACATATTTCTCTGTTGCCTCATTTTTCCCAGTTCTCTGTGTTTATTTCTACATGTTAGATCAGTCAATTATGTTTCTTCATCTCGGAGAAGTGGCCTTATGTAAGAGATATCCTATGTAGCCCAGCAGCATGTTTCCCTCTGGTCACCAGAACTATATGTCTTAGGGGTGTCCCATACATGGGCTGCATGTGCCCTCTGTTGTGGCAGGGCTGACTACCATGGTCATGCTGGTAGGTGAGGCTGGCCCCAACCTGGTTGGCTGCGAAGCCACATGTTGTGTGGTAGCTGCAGGCCTGCTAGGGGATGGAATGAGCTCCCCATGCAGTTGGTTGTACAGCCTGGGGGCAATAGGACTGCTGCTCGCCTGCTGATGTGTGGGGCTGAGTACTAGCATGGCTGTTTGCCTGGTCCATGTGGGCACTGAGCTGGCACTGGCCTGCTAGAGAGCATGGCCAAGTCTCTGGGCGGCTGTCCACACAGTCCAGGGAGGCATGGGTCTGTTGCTATCCCACTGATGGCTTGAGGGAGGATTTCAAAATGGGGATTGACAATGCTGGTGGTATTGCTGTAGAATGAGCTCCCAGAAATGGTTGTTGCCAGCTTCTCCATCCCCATGGGGAGTCCCAGTTACCTCCTGCCTCTCTGGGAGGCTCTCCAAGATCAGCAAGTGGGTTTGACCCAGGTTCCTCTCAGACTACTGCTTCTGTGCTGGGATTCAGAACATGTGAAGTTTTGTACATGCCCTTTGAGAGCAGAGAGTTTGTTTCCTATAGCTGTCTGGCTCTCCCAAACATAAGACTTGCTGGTTTTCAAAGCCAGACATTTGAGGATTTGTCTTCCTGGTGCAGGACCCCTAGGCTATGGAGCTTAGTGTGGGGCTCAGGCCTCTTATTCCTTGGGGAGGAACTCTAAGATTTTGATATTTTTTCATTTGTCGTTTGACAACCTGAGGAAGTGTGCTGACTATACCACATCTCTGCCTCTCCTATTCATCTTCTTGTGGTCCCTTCTTTATATGTTTAGTTGTGAAAAATCCTATATGCTAGTCTTCATGTTGTTCTCATGGAGAATTGCTTTGTAAGTAGTTGTAATTTTGGTGTGTCTGTTGAACTCCAGGTGAGTTCATGGTCTTCCTACTCCACCACCTTGGCCACCTCTGCAAGCTATTTTTAATGATATAATTACAATTAGTAAAACTTGTATTCTCAAATACTTTGAGTTAAATTTTATGTTGATTATTATTGTTAGACAGCAGTTTGGAACCACTTAAATTTGATACTCTTGTCTATGTGAGAGCAATTGTGGCATAAAGCTAGAGATAAGTTCAGTGCCTGGCACGTAATAAGTATTTAATAAATATTCATTGAACAAAAATGAATAAACCATACATTATTTGAATGTTTTCCTTGTTGCTTTTTAATTGGCATTTGGTTTAGAAAGTAACATGTACTTAACAATTATGGTTGAATAAATATATTTATAGGTCAACTCTACAAATTGCAATAACAGAAAATAAATTAAAATTAGTCTCTACATTCATATTTAAGTCTAAAATGTAGTGGAAACATCTCTTAGTACTTTTCAGATAATCACTATACAATGAACCATTCTTCAAGTGTGATCTGCAGAAATAGTGTTACTGTTTATTACAGTGGAAGGGGGTCTTTACTTAAATAAATTTAGGACACATTGGGTCAAGTAAATTTAAATAGGCTTTTCTATTATAGGACTTCTCAGAGCTTTTTTATGAAAGTGTACCTTGTGTAAAGGGGGAATAGTATGCAATGTTTTTCAAGTATACATGGCCATAGAAACTTAATTTGAATGAACATGTAACAGAGTTAGCAAACCACAAACCACAACTTGGAAAATGCTACCACAGTGATTTTATTTTGTGGATGTTAAGGAACTGGAGATCATGCATTTAATATTTCCATAAACTCTGTTTTGGATTCCAGTAAGAAAAAGCAACCAAGAGTATTATTATTGGTATCTGGAGTTGAATTTTCCAGGAATGCGAGCGCAGCTTCCTCAGTAAAGATCTTGCCTTTGGAAACATCTTACTCCTTGACATCTCTCCAGAGTTAAGACTTGGCAGCCTCAAGGACACAGCACAAGGTGTGTTTATTTGATTTAACATTTGGCAAAAGGTGTTTTGACTTGTGGTTTGTTTTCTTTCACTTTGTTTTTCTTGTTTTGATTTGTTTGTTTTTGGCAATGAACTTGAGTTTGGAATTAGTTCTTTTTTATGGGAGGCAGGATTACAATGGGGAAATGTTTTTACTTGGATTTATTTTATGATTTTGGGTAAATCCAAGAAAATGAAGCAAGATCCATAAAACTATAAAATTTTATCTGATTAATTTGTTAAATCATTTAGTATTATTGTCTATGAGAATTTGTTGCCACATTAAATATTTGATCTCTCTTGATGTTTGATACACTATGATACTTTGATACATAACTATATGTTGATAATTATATATTGGTTAAAATCAATGTCCCTGCATAGTAAGTAATGAACAAATTAAGATCATCATAAAATATCTATTATTCAACATTATTTTAAATCTTTCTTGATTAATTGGTATATCTATGTCTCACATGTTTTGTGGAGAGAGGAAATATGTTATAAAATGGAAGAAAATGGGCCCCCATTATATCTGTGACCCTATCTTCTACTCTCTTCTTCCACCCCTCATTCTAATTAGAACTCTTCAATGGCTCCCCATTTCACTCAAGACAAAAGCTAAAGCTTTGAAACTGGCCTGTATGTCTCTGCAAGACCTGGCTCCTTGTCACCTCTCTAATCTCATCCCTAACTACTCACTTGCTTAGCCATACTGTCTCCCTTGTTGTTATTTGAACATGACAGGCGTGTTCCCATCTCAGGGTTTTTCCATTATTTTCTCTACTGAATTGCTTTCTCCCTGATATCTGCATGACCAATTTATTTACTTTCTTTTGGGTTGTTATTAAAAGGTCACTTTCTAAATGAGGTCTTACGTGGTCACCATTCCAAAATATCCCTGCTCTGTGTTTTCTACTTAGCATTTATCTTATCTAATAAACTATGTATTTTATACTTATTTGTCTTGCTTACTGTCATTATCATTTGCAAGAATATTAGTTATTCCTATGAGGGCAAGGGATTTTGTTTGCTCTGATTTTATTCTAGCTACCAGAGTAGTCCCTGGCCTTTGATGAGTGAATGAATGAATGCTTAATTTAGCAAATATTTTTTAAGGACTTACCATGAGCAGTGCTAGTTGGTGAGGATAAGGAATGAAATACACAGTTCCTGCCCTCAGAAGTACACTTTGAAGGAGGTAGAAATTGCAGCAGTATGAACAGAACATTATCATTACTTGGGGAAGCAACATTTAATCAGACTGTGTTGGGCTCATGAAAGTCTTCCTGAAAAATGTAACCCTTTGAATCACTCAAATAGCCTAGGTTATGCTGTAGGAACAAAGAAGCCCAAAGCTCAGTATCTTTCTTTTTTAAATTTTTATTTTATATTGGAGCATAGTTGATTAATAATGTTGTGTTAGTTTCAGGTGTACAGCAAAGTGCTTCAGTTATACATGTACATGTATCTATTCTTTTTCAAATTATTTTCCCATTTAGGTTATTACAGAATACTGAGCAGAGTTCCCTTCCACTATACAGTAGGTCCTTTTTGGTTATCTATTTTTAATATAGCAGTGTACAAGTCAATCCCATTCTCCCAATATTAGCACAACAAATATTTATTTCTCACCCAGACTACATGTCCAAATTGGATTGGTAGGGACTCACAGTGACCAAAGACATTGAAGACTTCATCTGAATGTATTTCCATGATCACTGCAGAAGTGAGAAGAAAGAGTGGCTAGTTATGCCCTGGCATATAGAGTTTCACTGGTCAAAGCAAATTGCTTTATTTCAAATGGGGGACTGTGAAGTACAATACTGGCCTCTACGCAAAGGGAAAGGAAAATTGGAAGATATGTGAACAGAATTAATGACTACCATGCCTTTCTACTGTTTTAAAGGAGTATAGGAAAATTGGAAGATATGTGAACAGAATTAATGACTACCATCTTTTCTACTGTTTTAAAGTAGTATAAGATACCCACGTAAAGAAGTATTTGAAAGCATTTTCAGAGAAAGGAAGGGCATGGGCAAACCCAGTAAGCTGTTACATATTATGATCATTTCAGAAAACTACACGTAGTTAAAAGTAGTTGGGGTATAGTGCATGCGTGGGATAAAGACAGATAAAGAGATTAGTGGGAAAACAGGGGTTAGATTATAGCACACTATGGAATTAGAGCTCTATCCTAAAGGACTTAGGGAGCATTGAATGATATAATATACCTCAGAGGAATTTCTTGATTAAATTTAATTTGTGAGAGATTATTCCTGTTTTTGTTTGTTTTTTTTGTTTTTATTGAAGTATAGTTAATTTACAATGTTGTGTTAGTTTCAGGTGTACAGCAAAGTGATTTTATATATATATGTATATATACATATATATGTGTGTGTGTATATATATATATATATATATATATACTTTTTCAGATTTTTTCCATTAAAGATTATAACAAGATATTAATATAGTTCCCTGTGCTATATAGTAGGTCCTTGTTGTTTATTTTATATATAGTAGTATATATATGTAGTAGTATAGTATATGTTAATCCCATATTTGTATCATTTTTATTAGATTCCACATGTAAGTGATATCCTATGATATTTGTCTTTCTCTGTCTGACTTGCTTCACTTAGTATGGTAATCTCTAGGTCCATCCATGTTGCTACAAATGACATTATTTCATTCTTTTTATGGCTAAGTATTATTCCATTGTATATGTATACTACATCTTCTTTATTCATGTGTCGATGGACATTTAGGTTGCTTCCGTGTCTTGGCTATTGTAAATAGTGCTGCTATGAACATTGGGGTGCAGGTATCTTTTTGAATTAGAGTTTTCATGTGAGATATTATTCTGGAATCAGTGTGGGGGATGGCTTTGAGGGGAGGAAAAACTGGAGACAGTAAGACCAATTATGATACTAATGCAGTAATGCTGGTGAGACCCTGGATAAAGACAATGACAGAGGAAAGAAAAGGAGGGGAACAAAAGGTAAAAAGGCAGGAAAGTGTTTATGGGGTGGACTCCAGGACACAGAGGAAGTAAGATACTTCTTACACTGGCAGTGTTTGTGCCTGAGCATGTGTATGTGGATTTTTGTTTAGTGTGTGTGTAAATGTGTATGTTGCTGTGTGTGAGAGAGTGAGAGTAAGCTTGCAAAGTCAGTTGGCATTACCTAAAGATCTATGTTTTCTTTGTGATTTGGTAAACAAGCTCATGTGCCCAGATTGAAACGAAGATGGGTTTCAGGAGAGCCCTGCAAGCTGGAATGGCTACTGAGTCAAATGGGAGATGGGATCACCTTGGGGCTGAGAAGTTGCTGGGTAGTGTTCTGTACTTGTAAAATATCAGATTACACATTTTACAGCAAAAATTGCTTTGGGAAGTTCAGTTGCGTTTTTCTTTAAATTGTTTAGCGTTCAGCAATAATTTGAAAATAAACATTTTAAATGAATTTGTGTATGCTATTTCCATTAGAGGGGCCCATGATATATAACCTATCCCCTGCTCCCAAATTTTGGTTAATGTGATAATGAAGACCCAATCATTTTATAATAGAGGAAAATTTTCTAAAATTAGTGAGGTAGTTATCCAATGCTTTTATAAAATCATTTTTGATGATAGACTGAAATAAAATACTATAATGTTATAGTGAAGCTTAATTTTCAAAAAGAAAATAGAGAAGTGATTGGAATACTTATTATATTTTTCTTAAAGTTTTTTGGAAGACATTGGAATGTACTATAATTTAAAGATATTCTGAAATTGCATTTCTTGTTTGCCATTGTATGTTAGACCCATGGTCATTTTAAATATTTGGGATGCTAAATTTATTACTGCAAATTCAAGTCTGGTCATTGAAAGAACCAGTTTTATCTAATGTCAGACTACTGCTCTAGTAGAAAGAACCATACCGACCTGCCCAATGCATGTGGTGGATATATGAGAGAAATTGTGACATATCGACTTAGAAATAACATCAAGAATTTACAACTCCTGAACTCCTGATAAGAGAATATCAAAGAAGTCGTGGAAGTGTTGAACTGAGAAGATTCTTTTCTTAGAATGGAGAATAATTGGAGATTTCTGACAAAGATAAGAGATTCAGTTGTTAGTTTAAAAAATGGGGACTAGTGTTTAAGATTTTTGTTGTTGTTCAGAAGCCTTCCATTTTAGAAAGTATTTTTGCATACTGATTATGTACATATACTGTAAACATATAAGTAATAATCTATTTATTCAAAGTTTTCAACACACTAACAAGAAGACAGCATATGTAATTTGGCATTTTAAAAGTTATCCAAAGATACTTTTGCTGAAACCACTTAGCTGATTATAGAAGATAGTTAGGAGACCAAATAATAGCAGAAAGGGTACAATTTATATGTAATTAAGTTACACATAAGGTACATATTATGAGACCATTCTTTTCTTTTTGTATTTCATTGACTTTTTAAATGAATGTGAGCTCATCAAGTTCAGGTTATTATTTTTTTGTCTAAAAAAACCTATTTGGACTGTATGGTGCCTCAACAATGAGTAACTGATTAAGCCAGAATGATGTAATAATACTAACAACATTTATTGAGCACTTACTATGTGAGAAGCACCATGTCAAGTACTTTAAATGAACTAGCTATTTAATTTAATGCTTACAGCAGCCACATGGGATAGGAATTCTTACTGTACTGATTTTAAAAAATGATAAATGAGCTTAACTTCATAAACAACTAAAAAGTAACAGAACCAGAAAGGAAACGAGTTAAAGCAGGGAAGAGTTAACCCATACTTTATCAGGCTCATATTCTTATAAAAGATAGAGAACTTATAGTAATATTTTAAAACTCAAAGCATTTTTAAATTAAGTTTATAATAATTAAGCATAAAATGTGGATGTTTTAAGTTAATGTAACAGTCTTCTGAAAAATATATCTACTCAAAAATATACTGAGTGTCTACTATGTCCACAGTGTTCTA